TCATGAATAATTTACATGAAAAATGCTACAATTTAAACGATTTGAATCATCAAAGTAGTCTCAAGAAGAGCCCACACAAGACCACACAACAAACTACTATGCCTTGTGAGTACAACAACAACCTCTCTTCCCTAACGTTTCAACAACCACCTCTTATATTCAATATTTGACTATTAATCCAATCACAAGCACACGTCTGCCCAAACAAATATAACATAAATGTCTTGAGTCATTATAACTAAAGCCCCCAAATCCACTATTGCCCATTCATGGTCATCCCCCCCAACCCACTTAATTTGGGATTTTTCTAGAAGTTTACACAATTTGTATACAAACATGAAAAATTTACGAAATTTGTATTTAAAATGATAGGATTGTAGTGTGACTTATTATTTTAAATTAAAAATCTCTATCAAAATAACATTTCGTTATACAAAAAATTGTCACTGCTATATCATTTTGTTAAAGAATTCTATATAAATACTATTTTCGTATAAGTTGACATCAGTCAAAACGCCCTTTGGATTAAGCCCCCAGGTCCCAGGTTCAAAACCCCCTTGGGTCAATCTCCTGGGCGTAGCACAGTTGATTAAGAGGTTAGCCTCAAGCAGCTTCATCGCATTTGGTGTGGGTTCAATACTCCATCGTTGTACGAGTCCTGACTTAAGCGGAGCTTGTCTTGGGAGGTCGGGACAAGTTCCCAGATTATGGTCTCCTAACTCAGAACGGACAACATAACACCCTGGTGATCTCTGCAAGGGGCGCTACCTTGGACCTACGGGCGAGTGGAAGGATTTTCCCTGTAACAAAAAAAAAAAAAAAAAAAAAAGTTGACATTAGTCAATAAATTTTTGTTAGATTGGAAGCCTTATCTCATTATAATCTAAAGAGAAAAAAAAGATGGCAACAGGTTGCCATAAGTCAAGTCTTTATCCCATAAACAATGGCTCTTGAGGTATCAATTGTTAAAAGCACTATTATATATATTTTACTCCTTAATCATATCTATGATGAACTTGGTAACTTAGTGGCATAAAATGGTCTGAACTCATTTCCGCTTTTCCACAAGTAATCATTAATAATTTGTTAGAATGAACAAATGGAAGGAATTCCATTCCAACTGATGACAAAGATAAATATATACTCAGATTAAAAACAATTAGAACTTGAACATATATATATACAGGAACTACCAATATATATTCTAAAATGATTTTTAGACTTTACTTCAAAGGATGATTCTTGTGATTAACCTAATCGATTTCTCTAGTTTTTAAGTTAATAGATCTGTTGTTGGGTGTGAATTCTCTGGTTTTGGAGAGTAAACAAGACTTACTTTCTTTGGAACTAAGTACTAGTGCCCAAAGCTGGAAGTTTTCATCCCAAATCCTAATAATAACAAGCAGTTTTTATTCCTTTAATCATTTAAACTTATAGTTATGTTTGATTATCAGATTAGGTTAACTAGGATAATGTATGGGATTACTAGTGTGGTGACATTAAACTATAGAAGTAAGATAATTGGTATTTGCTTGTGCACCAATGTAATTGGTTTTGATTAATTTTATGCAATTATGTAAAAACACTCGTTATATAAAATGTAACTATGTTGTTTTTGTCACCAAACCTTTTAATCCAAATGAAATGTAAGAAACCAAGGTAATGCCAGATTTACTATATCCTGAATATCAATGCACTTGAATGCAATTCTGTAAGTATTTAATAAATTCAATAAATTTTGAAAAGGAAATCTAGGCTATTTGGCCCAAAGTATATAAACTTCAAACAAGTAGATAGTTTAAAAAGGATACATCAACAGGTCCTGAAACTTGCAAACAGACAAACTACTCTTACCAACTAAAAAAATAGACAACAAACAATCAAGTCTATAACAGCTTTAACACAACAAAAATCATAAGAAAAACAAAATAAAATATTCTTTATCCCAGCTAATTGAGTTTAGACAGTATTCTTTACATTTCTCTAATTATTACAAGAAAACATAATACATACAAACCATATCTTTGTTTATATCACACCACATATATATAGATTATAAGAAGTTACAGTTACATCTTGTTTAGACCATTGCAAGTCATATACGTAACTATGGAACCTGTTTTAGAGTAAATGACAGAATAGCCATTGCAAGTCATAGCCTTTTTAAAAAGTACTTTTAAATGAGAAAAGTTGAATGTTTGCTTGAGACTAGCATAAAATCATAATTTTTTTTTTAAAAAAAAATTAAAGAAAAGAAATTAAAGGATAGGATCATATATGTAACATGCGGCCAAAACAATAATTTGCAGCATCACATAGTTGTGGAGTGGATAAATATCTTCAAGTCCAATCAGTCCTCAAGATTGGCCAGAATATATAATCTAATCCCATTCTCTTATACCTCCAAACAAACACAACAATGATTATAAGTTCTACAACAACAGCTTGTTTGGAACCATTGCAAGTCATATGAACTTATTTTAGAGTATAAAAACAGGATTGATAGCCATTGCAAGCCATAGCCTTCCTGAAGTACATTTAGATGAGAAAAGTGCATGCTTGAGACAAACTAAAAACATAAAAGAAGGGGGGAAAAAAAAAAGAAATTAAAGCATAGGATAATATAACATAGTTGCTGAGTCGACAATGATCTTGAACTCCAATTAGACCTCAAGTACCTAGGAGAAGAGAAAAACGACTAAGTAAAACTTCAAACAGTATGATGAGAAATGATAAACAATTAAAATAAGACACAAAAAAGAAGCTGAAGCAACTTGAAAATTAGTTTTTTTGGTACCTTACTAAAAAAGGTATACAAATATGTTATTGTAAACCAATTACTCATAAGATCATAAAAGGAAAAAAAGAAAAAGCATAGAAGTAAAGAACAACACTTGCCCTTATCTAGTGTCATGTTTTGAGCTTAATTGAATGCAAAATTCATGGAATGAGTGTAACCCATAATACATGCAACAAAATGTTAGTTTGCCTTTTGTCTTTCTTTTTCGGCAACTAGTGCATTCTAAACAACGCTGCCCTCCTTAGGAACAGGCAAGCCTCTAAGGCTTTGCAAGGGATTAAAACAGAGTAGTTTCACAATACTCCATCAGTTGGTATATTTTTCAACCCTAGCCATACGCAGATTAAAAAACTTGAAGTTACATTTCCATCAATTCCATTATGTGTATAGCCAAAGTGCACTAACCACCATAGATGTGTCAAGACATTCAAATGCTTTCAGTTTCTAACCAATTTTGTTTTCCAAATTAAGTTGGAGGGGATTATAGGGGAAAAAACTTTGCAACTTTGAAGTTATGAGAACTGAGGTTCCAGTAACGTGGAATAAGATTTTGGCAATAGAGGCTGATTAATATTGATTGATTTTTGCTTATGTATTATTCTTAGTCATATTTGTAACGTGAATCTAGTTGAATTATTTGCTCAAGTTTGTAGAAGAACCATAGGTTTGATGGAAAGAAAATAAAAAAAACCAAAGAAAAAAAGAATTTCCATTCGGTAATGAAACCATCATGCTTGACAGGAACCATAACTGATTTTTTGTCACCTTCAAAATGTCAATGTTTAAGAATGTGGTCATTTGGGTGAAGTATAGCATATCTAAGGTGTTATGATTTATATGCCACAAGACAAACTAAAGTTTGTTGGCTTAGTGTGGAATTGCAACAGTTTCAATAATAAATGTGGGTATATTCTTCAGTTACTAAGAAAGTGACGGGGTCATACCTACTCATGATCACACTTTAATTCTAGCTCTTCTTCCTCCATGAACTCCATTAGTTCCAAGAAAGTTGTTCTTGATCACAAGCAACTGAGTAATGACATGATTAATGGTTGGTCTATCTCTTGGTAGCTCTTGTGAACATGCGATTCCAATATTAAGTATTGAAATCAAGAACTCATAAATTTTATGACTGCCAATAGAGCTCTGATTCTTAGTGTTTTCGGTGCTTGAGCTTCCCCCCTCCAATTTCTCTTTGTTGAATTAGTGTTGGATCAACAACGCTCGCTATGTGTTCAAGTAAAAGCCATCTTAGCAAAGTTATGGAGACTCAGACTATCATTAAACATGTTATCAGTAGGTCTCTTCCCTGTAAACATTTCCAATAAGAGGGTACCATAACTGTATACATCACCAGATGTCGTCATCTCATTTCCCATACCATACTCTGCAGTTGATGCATCATTCAAAGTAAATACAATTGTAAAGATGCTTGGCCAGAAGCATATAAAATAATAGTAATAGTAATGTACCTTCTACAAAAAACTCTTTGTAGAAAACAAGTTTAGAGCATATAAAACTTTACTGTTTAATGTAATATAGGAAAGAATTATGTCTCTTCTTGGTGAGATAACAATATTTGGTTTGTCTGCTCGTGTCATGAGAAAGGCCCAACATGAAACAAGTTTGATTGTTTCCCAGTGATATTTATGAAGCCAAACAGTTGATGGTTCAATATCTTCTAAAGAAATAAGCAGTTGAAGCCTAGGTAACCGTTTAACTTTATCCAATTAGGTTTGTATTCATCAAACTTATAAATGTAAAAGAAATAGATAGGAGGATTGAAATTAGCAAAAGAGGATTTTGTAGTCTCCTTTTTATGTTATCCTATGACTACACACATAGGAGATGAACAAAAGTTAGATATTGTATGTTGTTATGCTTTCACATTTTGTGCCAAGAAAAATACTAGGATTTCTCAATACTGGTACATCTCCATTGAAGGCAAAAAGAAACTTAAATACAATTATGTGGATTATGATTTGCAGACAACAAGATAGGAGATGTATGGAAAATCCTCTAAAAAATGGGATTGTATATCATAAGCAAAAGAAACTAATGAAATTAAGAACCTGCATTCCTTTGAGTTTCATATTTTTCAGACTAAATTATGTGCAACAGAAAAGAAAAAAAAATACTTTTAAATAACACATTGGAAAGTATTTACCAAACATTGATTTTCATGCATTTGAAGGGCAAATGATGTTGCGAGAAATAAAACCAAAGAACCATCTGCTTTACTTCATTGATCAAAGAGGCATACTTGATGGATATGCAAATCAGACTCTAAAGTATGTTGGAAATTGAAGGTGAAAAAGAATATCAGTAAAGGGCCTAAGAGATACATTTACCTGGAGCAGCATAACCAACAGACCCTCTTAAGCCAATGGAACTTGATTGAGTTGCAGAAGAATTATCGGTGCCCTCTGGAAGGAATCTAGCTAACCTAAAATCGCCTACATGTCCAATCATTTCATCATTCAGAAGAACATTGCTCGGCTTCAAATCACAGTGAACTATTGGTTCCGAGCAATGATGATGAAGATAATCAAGTGCAGAAGCAACATCAACGGCAATATTTAACCTTTGTAGGAGGTTTAAATTTCTTGATTCGACATGCACCTCATCTTCATTTTCATTTGCATGTAACCAATCCTCTAGGCTACCATTGACCATGAACTCGTAAACCAGAGCTTTGAAATCATTACCATTATAGTCAACACTTGAACATGCTGTGAAAACCTTGACAAGATTTCGATGTTTGATGCGCCTCAAGGCCTCGCATTCAGCAACAAAACTCTTGGAAGCTCCATGGAATTGAAGGTTTAGTACCTTCACTGAACAACTTTTTCACTGTGATCAAGAATTCCTTTTTAGACTGAACCAAAACTACCTATGCCTATCATGTTGGAGGGAGAGAACCCATCAGTTGCCTTGAGTAGACTTTGGTAGGACAATTTCACATATGACTTCCCTAAAAATCTCAAAGAGGGTACTTTTGTTGTCTTTCTAAAGCAACAAAGACATAGTAAACACAACACTATCACTAGTCCCAGAAGCCCAAACAATGTGGGGATTATTATTTTCAAGATGAGTGTGAATCTTTTCCTTTTGAATCCCTTGGCATTGCAACTGTGCAAATGTAGTTTAGGTATACCACCACAAAGCTTGTTGTTTCCCCTAATAGAAATAGTCGTTGCATTTTTAAATATGCCTATTTCTGGTACCGCACCCTCAAAATCATTGAATGATAAATTTAATTTTTGTAAGAAGACAAAGCCCCCTAAATAGTCTGGGATTTTTCCTGAGAAATTATTGTGAGAAAGATCTAATTCCTCAACACCTCTCAAATAACTTAAAGATGAAGGAAGAGTTCCCAGAAATTATTGCTCTGTATATATAGAAATCTCAATTTTACACAACTACCAAGAGTGCTTGGAATTTTTCCAGACAACATATTCCTAGAAACATCTAATTGTTCAAGATTTATTAAATTTCCAATTTCTAGTTGTATGGACCCAACCAAATGGTTGTCTTGTAGGTGCAAGAAAAATAATGATGAAAGAGTTAGAACTTGTTTGGGTATGGTACCACCCAGATTATTTCCACCAAGAGCTAGATATACAAGAGGGCATTTTCCCAGACTTGGAGGAATGTTGCCATGCAAATTATTTACTCCTAAACAAAGATACGCTAGTGAAGTCAAATTTTTCAAAGACAAAGGAATTTTCCCATAGAATTTATTACTTGAGAGATCCAAAATTTGTAGCTTTTGTAGCTTCCCAATATCAGCAAGAATGTTACCCATGAAATGATTGTCTGCCATGTGCAAACATAGCAAATTGACCAAATTCGCCATCTCGGTTGGGATGCTCCCACCTATTTTATTGTTCTCCAATAAAAGGATACCGAGATTAGTGGACAAATTTCCAATTGATTCTGGCAACACCCCTCCAAAGTTGTTGGAGTCCAGCCTCAAAGAGTTCAAATTGGTGGCATTGGGCAATGAGCTAAGAAAATTCAAGTCACCAGCTTCCCCTGTTCCAAGATGATTGAATTGAAAGTATAACCGCCCAAGATTGTGCATCATTCCCAAAGGAGGCACTCTTCCAATAAATTTATTTTCTCCCAAGTCAAGGTGATACAGGTTGGTTGCATTTGATAATGAAATAGGAATGGATCCAGTAAACAAGTTCATTCCAACTGAAAACCATTGAAGAGTTGGAAAAGAAATTCCAAGATCTAAGGGAAGTCTCCCTTGAACTTGGTTCATTAATATATCAAAAAATGTGATGGAAGAGAGATTAAAGATTGAGGAAGGAGTAGTACCAACCAACTTGTTCTCCCCCAATGCAAGAACGTTTAAGTTTGTCAATCGGCCCAGGGCTTCAGGTATACTCCCATTGATGTTGTTGAGACTTGCATCGAATTCAATAAGGGATGACAGATTCCCAAAAGTATAAGGAAGGTCACCTGTTAGATTGTTTTTGAAAATGTACAACAACTCGAGCTTAGACAGAGAACCAAGCTCCACGGGAATTTTCCCAGCCAGATTATTGCTAGAAAGCTCAAGGACAACAAGGTTAGAGCCAGCTGATATATTGGCGGGAATTTCACCACTAATAGAATTATTGAGTAGTGACAATATTTGCAGTCTCCGTAGATGGCCAAGTTCAGAGGGGATTTGATGAGTGAAGCTATTGTTACGCAACAACAGTATTCTAAGAAAGCTCAGATTTCCAATGTGAGGCGAAATTGAGCCTGTCAATTTTCGATGATCCAGTATCAACTTAGTCACCCTCTGGTGTCGTCGGCCACATGTTATGCCAGCCCATTGACAGAAGTGGATGGATTCATTCCACGAGTTTAGAGCCTCGAAGGGATCACTGATTATTTCAGCCTTGAATGCGAGCAAGGCTAGCCGATCCGTCTCATTCCCGGCTACATGAACATGATGACGATGAGTACTAGAGCCTGAACCACCCAAACACGAACACCCCATGAGAACAAAAACAACAACAACAACAACAACATGCATGAACTGAAACAGAGTCCATGACATTGACGACAGTAATATTAAACCCATATTGAGGATTGGACGCTCTTATTGAATTTGAGAGACCATCCATCCCTATATATAAAGCACGAATACCTGCGGACGAAAATTTTGGCCTCACCAAAATTACCGCATTGCCCCTTTGCTTATATCATAATCACCATCTCTCATCATAATCATCATTCCATATGCAATGGTCTCATTGTACGTCATACATTAGTTTTATCAAAATTACTTAGCCACCTTTTTATATTATATATATTTTTTTATTGATAAATTAAAAGTTCAAAAAATGTACATTTAATCGGATATTTTTGATATAATTATACTAATATCTTTTAAAATTTTAACTTACATAATACTTAGGCTATTGTTTATCATCTCATCACCAATAATTTGTTATCATCAACAATTCGATAATTGTATGAATAAAAAAATAATTTTATCATATTATCTTTGTCTATTTCATTATCTACCTACTATTGAAGACCATCTGTGCAAAAAATCAGTTTCATCGATGAATACATAAACAAATCACTTATTTTATTTTATAGAATGAAAGGTTTAAATTTAAATTTAAATTCACAATTACTGTCCATTTTAAGAGATGGGGGTGTTGTGTAGCATAATATTTCTCAAAATAAGTGTTGGTAATAGTATTATAAGGTAAAAGAACTAAAATTAATAAATACATAACTATAAGGCTGCGTTTAGAATTTTTTTTAATGTGTTTGGTTTCTTTCATGTTGGGGATTTAATTTGAGAGAGTGTATTGGACTTAGTGGGTCCATTGTGATCCAAATCTTTGTGATTCAAATTGTTCACTTTTTAGTACTCATTGATAAAAATATTCATATAAAAAATCAAGATGATTAGATTTCGATAATTATATGTTTGAATCCCATTTATGTTTGAATTTTTATGGTGTTAATTTTCTTTTAAAGTTTTTTTTTTCTTTGCCACAACTATATTTCTTTTTTTCTTCTCTTGGTTTAGATAGCACTTATATTTATAGTTTACATTGATTTCTTTACCTTATCTTATGGTTTACATTTTTAATCCTTAAGTTAAAATTTAATATCAAAATTGGGGTTTTGACTCCTCTACTACAAATGGATATTTATATAAATAAATAAATAAATAAATAAAAGTTTTGAATAATTGTTTTAAATATTTTAAGAAAAAAATTCATTTTACTCATTTGTGGTTTAAGCCATGAGCACATTATTCCTCTATGATTCAAATATTATCAGAAAGTGTCCATATGATTTTGGACCAAAGTACAATTGTTAACTTCCTTAACTATAATTGTGAAATGGCTAAAATACCCTCTAACCCCATCCTCCCCCCCCTCTTCTCTCATCTCACATACACATAATTTAATAATAATTCAATTAATCATAAATTCTTAATTATTTATTATAATTCCTCTTTTTAATCTAATTTTAATTTAGTTATATTTTAAATAAATCCATAATTATTATTTATTTTATATTTTAAATTAACTTTTAATTATATTTTATATTTTACATCAATCTTTAATTGTATTTTATTTCTATTATCATCTTAATCTCATTTTACGTTTGTTTTGTTAATTTCAATTTATATTTTCAGAAAATTAAGTCCGCTCTACAAAATAATGAGTGTCATACACCTTTTATTAGTTTGAATGGAAAAATTAACGGTATCACTTTAGTCCAAAATTATATGGGGACTTTCTAACTATATTTAAATCATAAAGGGGATTTTCTAGCTATATTTGAATTATAAAGTGGTAAAATACTCAAGTCTCAAATCACAGGGGCAATATGAATTTTGCCCATGTTTTTAAATTTGTAAATGATTTCTAACTCAACAAATGAATATGTACAAAAAAACTAATATTAAAAAAAATTGTTTGATTGTTTATTTATTTACTTATAATTTATATTTAAACTAATTTTTAACTCAACTAATATTTTTTTTTATTTTAAATTTATTTTTTCAATTGAGTTGTGATCAATAGTTTTCACTCCTAAATTTTGAATGTTTAAAAGACCTTACAAATAGAATTTCTTTTAAAACAAAAAAATTGATGTTTAGTTTGGGAATAGACTATTTTAATAAATTTTTGACTAAAATATGAGGTGGAAAAATTGGTCGTGTTTGATTTCGTAAAAAAATGTTAAAAAGTTGTTACAGTATCCATATAAAAAATTTGGTTTGTGGAAAAATTGGTCATGTTTGATTGTTTTTCTATGGTTTGTGGAAAAATTGGTCGTGTTTGATTTCATAAAAAATATTAAAAGTTGTTAAAGTATCTATGGATTTGTTCAGTTGACTTGTTGACTTAAAGTTACATTTAATTGAGGAAGAAATTATTCAGTATTTTTAGAACAATACTCTATTTTATTTATAATTGACACTTAACTGTTTATCTCTTAAAATTTCAATACAAAAGTAAATAGCTCTCATGGTTTAAATCAATAATAATTTCTCATTGCGCATCAACCAAATGTACTAATGATTACTCAAAATATATTAGGGGGAATAGAAAACAATTCTCAAAAACAAAACCAAATGAAAAAAAAATTCTTTCACCATCTTGTTATCATCCTCCACAATTTGTCTCTCCTTTTCCTCACAGTAATGCCAAGTGTTCAAAAAAATTATTTAGAAAAATATTAACCAAAAAAAAAAGGTGAGTAGACATTCATTTCAATTATAAATTTTATTATACAAAAACTAAATTTAAGTCACACATCACATTTTGAGATAAATTTATTTTTACATTCCTATCATTGTCATTTTTCACAGCAGATTAACATCAATCGTTCAGTAAAAATATTATAAATCCAGAAATTTTATTTAAAAGTTATTCAAAAATATCAATATATAATTCAAAATCATTTTATACATGCGCTACACAATATATAAACTGTTAATCTTCACCTAACATTTCATTTTGGACCCAAATCTAAGATAAGATTATAACTTACTGATCGTACAGCGGGCCTAAACAAATCATTTTCCATTTATTGATCATGGTCATGGTCATAGTCATAGTCATATTCATGGTGTAACACGAGTCTAGATCCTCTCCGTGGATCTCTCTACTTGGCTTCTTACTTAATGGGTTATTAGGCTTATTTTTAGACCTAATTTCGATAATTTAAACTATTCACATTTTAAGATTTGTCGAGTATATCATACCCGTAAAAAATCAAGTCGATCGAATATCGGAAGCCATATGTTCGGATCATCGAACTAAAAGTTTTATTAAAAAATAAAATTTCTTATTAAATTTTTTTTAATAAATGATTTTTAGTTGGATGATCTGAACACGTAGTTTTCAATATCCGATTAACTTAATTTTTTACAAGTATGATATATTCAATAAATCTTAAAATGTGAATAATTTAAATCATCAAAATATTAAACCCAAAAATATGCTCAATAATCTACCAAATAAGAAGCCAAATAGAAAGATCCAAGGAAAGGATGCTTGCTCGTGTAACACATCCACCTAGCAAGCTATTAGCCAAACTAGTAGTGGGAAAACAAAACAAACGTTTTCCTTGCTCGTGTAACACACCCACCTAGCAAGCTATTAGCCAAACTAGTAGTGGGAAAACAAAATAAATGCATCCAAAGCGTCTAGACTTCGCTGATTTAATTGTACTTTCAGTCCTCGTTTGATATAAGTTAAAATTAGTGATAATTCATGTTATGTACAGGATTTTATAAATTAAAAAAAAAATTATTATAATTATTTTAAAATAATTTAATATTTTGTCTTGTGATATACATAAAATATATAAATTAATTTTTATGTTTATAACTTTTTAAATTATTAGTTTAAAAAAATTAAAAAATATATATAATCTATTTATTGCAATTTTGATAATCTATATTAAAAAAAAAGAGTTAAATTTGATTAAATGAGTTATGACATACATCTTCTTGTTATGAAAATATACAAATTTAAAAGTTATAATTAAGACAAAATACAATTTTATTATTAAATACGAAGTGAAGTGATAATTAACAATAATTAATATGATGTTTCTATTATTAATCCAATAATTTAAGTTACATTTTTTTTAATTTCAATTTCATAACTAAAAATACAATATGAATATAATATACATACGTATTTCTAATCTTTAAGAATATGAAGGTTTCAAAATATTTTCAAACTTTCATCATTTTCTTTTAATTTTTTAATCTAATTTGATTTTAAATTTGAATAAAAATTTTGATTTGATATAAATTACTGTAACTTTTTCATTAAATTTTTATCAATTTTTAAAAGAACTTTTATTCTTATCCCAATTTTTTTCTTTTCACCAATTTTGATGGAAAAAACAATAATTTTCAACTGTCATCTTTTTTAATTTTTATCTAATTGTAATTTGATAAAAACAAATATTAAGGGTTGAAGATTCTCTTAATTGGAATTATAGTGAAATAACATCTTGAAATAGTTAAAGTTTGAGTACGTGGTTGGTTGAAATGTATAGTTTAATTAATTCTCTTCTCATATTTGTATAAAAATTGACACTTATGACTACATCATTATAAGTCAGATTATGAAAAAACTTGAGGTGTCAAACATTTTTCATTTGTAAATAGCCTACATATTAAAAAAAGAAAAAGAAAAAAACAAATGTATAGCTTTGGGATATGTGTTTATTAGTTTTGTTTTATGAATATAAACAATTGATGTTTCAATTTAAAAAATTAAAAAGTAAAAAAAAAAAAAATTAGGTTTTTTAAAGATAAAAGAAGCCATCTAACTCTTCTATATACTATTTAAGATGGGCTATTTAATCACATAAAAAAATAGAAATTATATTTAGCGATTATCCCTATATATTGTGTTATTCTATACAACTATAGCTGTAACAAATTAACTATAATATATATGTAAAGTTATATTAAGCTTTCATTTTCGATTAATTGAATTATAATTAACAAACTAACAAATAGCAGTAATGGTATAATGGGATAGAAAGAGGATAAAA